TTGAAGATTTGTCAGGAGCTGATGATTGTGGATAGCAGCGGCCGCGCCTTCTTTCAACTACAACATCTCGAAGGCACCTCCCGCAACACTTTGCACAAATGTACGCGCGCGCCTCGACCAAGAGTACGTGAGTAAAACTGTGTCGCGCAGGCAACTTCCTATGAACCCCTTTTTGACAATGTCTGCTTGTGGGTCTGTGGCTCTGCAGCTGCTGTTTCGAGCTATGAATCCTCAAGAGCACCATCGTCCAGCTATAGAGTTGCGTCTTTACAGCGGCAACACCGAAGGGGAGAGGCCGGAGTTGCAATATACAAGTGCAACAGTCTCCAGCAACGGCGTTGGAGATTTGATTACACACGTGCTATGCTTCTATGATTTTACGCTGCCTTCCAAAAAAAGCTACCACTACGATGTGTTATTGCCCAGTGGCCAGAAAGTACAAGCCAAAGAGCTATCGCTCTCTGAGGAGGTATATGCTCGAAAAGATTTCCGACAGTCAAAGGAAGCGTCCATGAGTCCTCACCCTGGCACGAACGACATGAACACAAGGAATGAAACATCAAAACGAACACACGTCAGCGATGAACACACGAACTCAGGGAGTATACCGGTACATGGCGACACGGAAGCAGGTACAGTAGCGCAAAACCCAATCACAACAGCAGGTTGGTGTGCTGACAACACACCTCACTTACTTCAGATTAAGCAAATCTTGTAATCACCGTGGCGCCCAGGTGCAGGTGAACGACGCAGACGCAAAGACCATACAGGCTGCGTGGACTAACCGTGACGGCATGGGAATCGCGTTACACACCTTACTGCAAGCAGGCCGGGTATATGCGGATTGAGGCGTGCAGAACGCACGCCGTTTGGCAGATCAGTGGCGCGGATTCTACACTAGTTGTACGCAGGGGGACGGGAAAAAGGTATATAATACAGACGAACAAATCGCCACACATTGTCTGGCAGAAAGTGGAGCCATCACAACCACAGTGGGAAAGCGCAACCTGGCAAAAAGGGATGACATCTTGGAACCACGACATCACAACGAGGGCAAAAGAAGTTCGGCCAACCAAGACAGCCAGTTCGGTGACCTCCAGCCGCAGTCAAGTGAGCGAGCCAAATATACACTAGACTCTTCTAGCGCAACAGATACGCAAGACGTCCCCGCCCCTGTTCCGCAACCAATTTCTCAACCCTTGCGACGGTTTCGGCGGAAAGGACCTGTCGCCGGTGCCTACAGCATCGGCTCCTAAGTTAATTTCATTGTAAGTAGCTGTTACATCAGAGCAACTGGCTGTCAGGAAAAGGTATGTTGAGGAGCAAAGACAGCCAAAAGAGCTATGCAAAAGTACAGCTTGAGAAAGCTAAATGGGCTCTGTAAACACAGCTTGAGAAAACTAAATGGGCTATGCAAAGCACAGCTTGAGAAAACTAAATGGGCTATGCAAAGCACAGCTTGAGAAAACTAAAGGAGGAACTGTGGCTGGAGAAAGCTAAGGAAACAACACAGCTTGAAAAAACTAAAGCAGGGCTTTGCAAAAGCAGAGCTTGAGAGAGGTATAAGGTGCTATGTATCCAGTGTATCCAGGAAACATGGGATTCGGACATATATGGTTTGATTTTGGGGTCTTACCTTGTTCATTGTTCGCCGCACGATGCGTTTTTTCTTGTTGGTGTTGGTTGACACAGCAGCGGAAACTCACGAAAACACATTTTTTCCCTCCATGGGCTCTGTAAGTCGGTCAATGTGTCACATCGCCTTGTCATCAGGCTTCCGGCACCTAAACACAATGGTTCTCCGTTGTTGGTCATCAACATCAAACACCTGCATGGTAATCTGTGATGGGTCATACTCCACATCACAGGAGCGCACAAAATAGATCACACGCTCCTCAAAAATTACACGGTCGTCTGCCGTGTACTCAATGTAAGCGTCCTTGACCCACCTCAGAAGACACAGTAGGTGGTCGTCTTCTTCATCAAGCTCAAACGGCCCATCTGTGTCAATGCTGTAGGTATAATTTTCCACTGGAATGATGAAACCCATTGGCCACTCACATCCTTATGCAAGTACCGAGTTTGTTCACATTAGGTTTTCCACTGAACAAAAAATGGACAAAGACGAGTGTCCCAAAATTTGTTTAATCCGCTGGTCACGGTCTTCTTTGGTCAGAGCAGCGCTGGCCATTTCAACTTGAAAGGAGGGCAGGGAAACAGTATTCAGAGCACTGAAAGTATATGGCTACAACTTCATGGTTTCGCACTTGCAAGACTGCCACAGTTTATTGCTGAATGTTCATTTTCTGCAATGTTTTTCTTTGGTGCGTTCCGTCGTGTCCCTAGATGTATACTACCCAGTCTGAAGATCTATCCATCACATTTGATTTCAAATGTGGAAAACCCCTACACGCCAAATATCAGGCTCACAACTGCGTTCCTTCCTTGGAAGCCAAAAAGTATGCCCTTTCCTTCGACTCCATCCATGCTTTGTGTGCTGCATTGGAATCCATGTCCGGGTTCTCCCGCTTGAAACGCCGTACCTAGTTCTGTCGAGAAACACATCTTCATAGAAACATAAATTATTCTAGTATCTTCTAGTATCAATCATGAAAACATATGGTCCAGACCCAAGTACGAAATCCCAGCGCGCATTGTGCATGGCTGACCCTTTGAAGGTAGTTGCACCATCGATGGAGCCCTTCTTCTCGTCCTTCTTCTTGTCAGCACCTTCTGCTTTATTTGTAGCTGCTTCTGGATCCTTGTTGCTGTCCGATTCCTTTCTTGCCTCAGGTTCAGGTGTATTTGCGTGCTTTGTCACTTTTCACAAGTACATAAATTCATAAACAAGCACTTACACAGCAAATAACTAAAGCAAGTACATCAATCATAACGCATACAAGATGCCTTGCCAGCCTTTTCAAATCTTGAATGCCATTCTCGTGATGTTTCTCGTTTTCGCTCAGCACGCTTGTCAATAATGTGTTGCTTTGTCTTTGGTGTCACATCCGATGTGATCCTTTGAGTCTTCCAGCGAGTCGAGGACTCTTCAGCATCAGCATCTGTTGTCCGCTTCTTGTCGGGCGTGACCTGTTGTTGTTTCTGCAGGGCTGAAATATTTATATTAAATAAATAAATATATATATATATATTTCATATAGTACTATACATACACGTTGTACCAAAACTTCAACACTGCAAAACATATTTTGAACATACCTGCCCAAGAACAATCGCTCCGCTTGGTTCTGGCATTGCGCAACCATTTGAAGGAGCTGGAGCAGCTTCTGGATCAGTTTCAGCATGTGCCAGTGCTCCGCCCTGAAGCTAATTGAATCCAACACGGACTAAACCATAAGAGCAATGAACAAACGGCAACAATACAGTAACACTTACACGGTGTCTTCCAGGTGGCATGTTTTAAGCCCGCAGAAGGTGACAGGACCTGAGCAGGTCTAAGTTGATCTGATTCAAACTTTGTTATTTGTAACCTTCAACAACAATTAAGTTGGAGGAAAACGTATATAAATTGATCCAAGCAGCCAAAGTTTCTTGTGAGTCATGAACAGGTTTCTCTTCTTCCAAACTCGAACGAGGAACTGTAAGCGGACCATTCCAATTTGGAGCAACCTTGGAACGACGTGTTTGGCCACCTGTCATAGGACGTTCAATCTTGTGTGACTCATCAGTCGCCCCTGGTGCATCTTCGCCAGCAAGGAAGAAAAGATAGGGATCTTGAAAGAGACTCTCATCATCTGGGATCGCCGCTGCATCGAAGTTCTTCAGCAATGATTTTGGACTCTGAGTAGAGCCAGAAGCAGCGGCCTCACCATCCGTGGGCCCAGTTTCAACTGGCTGGGCCTGACCAAAAACCATTGTGTTAAAGAAAACACACCTGGAACATGTAATTAAACTTTGTAAGCTGCAAAATTAGTTCAACAAACACCGACGCCTGCACAGCTTTGGGTGCCATAAACCCAGAAAGATCTGCGCTAAAATTGAACGGCTGCAACCGCTGAAGCGTCGGCCGCAATATATTGACTTGCGCTAGTGATCCTTGCCGCAAAGTGTCGGTTTGTTCTGCTGACGTCCCATCATTGGCATTGCCTTGAACTTGTCCGTCGGCTCGAGCTGCGCTCAAATGTTTCCCCAAAAGCATAGTGTTCACACTCTCCATCACTTGGTCATCTTGATCAACGTCCACAATGTCAGCCATGGTGCAAACACAAATGTTCGGAAGTCGTGTGTCCTAACAGCACCTGAGCCTGATCTGTTGGAATTTGAAACCGAGTTTTGTTTTCCATAGCTTTCCAAATCTGCAACTGATTTTGCTGATAAGTATGATGCACAAAAACATGATCCAGCACACTTTTCACCATGTGACGGTCGGTTTCAGTTGCTGATTTCTACCAAAATCAGGAGCGTCCCATTGTACCCTATATTCCACAATGATGGAAGCTCCTGAAGAACCAAGGAACCAGCATCTCGCTCTATGCTATTTTGTAGTAGGTGTCAGCCTCCAAGGTCCAGCCATTGCCTTTTGCATACCAAAGCGGCTTCGCCGGCCCGACAGTCTTTTCTTTTGTGTAATGTCGCACTCCTTATTGTCAATGTCTTGTGACGTGGGGCTCAACAAATTGTTGAAGAACATTGAGTGGATACATAAATGAAATATATACATAATAAAGAACTATTTGAAAAAGAAACATCATCGAGCGTCTCCAAACCATGGTCAAGAAGTCAGACTTGGATAGCAGCCTCGCTTGCTGACACAAAAATACGTTTGATCACATTAGTATTAGTTGTGAAAAGCAAACAACACCAACCAAATAAGTACATTGAGGCCTACAAAATATTGCTTCAGTTGATGTAGGCAGCTTGTATCCAACCAGGCCAGCAATGTTGGTGCCCTTTGCATTTTTGGGCTGCACTGGGTTCGGTTTGAACACGCAAAACGCCTTGTGATCAACTGTCAGCCTCACCAGGGAGACACAAACCTACTATACATGGCCACCAATGGCCACCATTGGCCACCCACAGTACAAACCACTTCTATGTGCCGTAGGCTTTTCTAATAGTTGAACACTTTTTCTGATACCTGGCCTGTCAGTTTCTTCTCCACGTGCAACTGTGGGCGGTCTGGAGATTTGGTGACCACAACTTGTGGTGTCCAAATGGCCTGCCTTCTCCAACTTGATGATAAGGTCAAACAGGGTCATTGGAGGTGAATCAGTAGTGCCTTGAGAGCTTTGCTCTTCCAAGACCACCTCAATTGCAATGGTGTGGCATTTGTCATTTGGACTGTTTGACAACAAAACTTGAATGAAATTGCGACCAACAAGAAAAAATGATTTGCTTACTAGGAGCATGGTCATGTTGGGTGTTCAGCCTAAACTCCACGGCCTTGTTCTCGTTCTGAGGCTTGCTCAAAAAATCCTGCGCCTCCAGGGTTTCTGAAATCAGGTATGCACGGGTCTAAAACTTTTTTTTGCAAATTCCTGTCCTTTGCTGAATCACTAATCCATTGACCCCCTGCATATGCTAAGAGAGCACGTGGTGCATCTGAGCACACACCAGGAAGACGAGCGCGTGCAGTGGAGGATATGTAGCAGCCATTGTCGACTACATGCACGCGCACAGTGACTCCCATTTGCACTGTCACAGATGCAACCACTGTGGGATACTTGCTCTGGAAGGCTTCCTTTGTCAAAGATGATGGAGTAAGGTCTGCTGGCGTGTCCTGGTTTGCCTTTGGCGCGGTTCCAAGATCCACCTCTGCTGCTGCTTGTGTTGGTGCCACTGTCACTGGAGAGCTTGCCTCTGCTGTTGGTGCAAATACAGCGTCAAAGTTCCGAAGACGGACTCTCCAATCCGGATCTCAGCTGCGCAAACTCAAGAAAAATACAACTATATGACTTCTGAGAACGATGAAAGCAACAAAGCAAAACCAATGGACACACAACAAGATAAGGCACTTCGAACAGCGTCTTCCAACCACTTCGATCGAATTTCTTGTGGAATGACCAGGTTTCCCGAGGTAGTCATACTGCAAATCTTGAAGCTTGGTTGTGCAGGTAGCGCCATCTCGCAATCAGGAGGAGGCTCTGGCACGAACTTTGGGAGAATGGTGGACATCTGGCCCTTCGTCTGCTTCCATTCCTTGAAGGGCAAATCATTATGTTCAACGGTTTTTTAAAAAAGAAATTCCAAACGTTTTGTTCAAACTTTTTTTGTTCATGAAGTAATGAAATCTTTTCAACATCACATCTTTGCCTGGAGCAGCTTCTCCTTCACACCCGTGGTCGCATATGTGTATATGCTAGGGCTCTCCATCTCACTGTAGCATGCCAGGTGCATATCAGATTGAAACTCGGTCATCATGTCGATGAGCACCTCAGGGAAGGTTGTCCTCAAGTATTTGAACCTCAAATATATATGTTGTTTTTGGAATGATTTGGACGCCCAGGCCTTCTCAAAAATGCCATCGTAGCAGGTTTTGTGGTGTACCAACAATGCACCTCTTTTCAAGCTCGAGACGCGTGAGAGCATTGATTCCAAAATGGATCTGATCGTGGCTGGATTGGCAACCCACTGAGCGGTCTCTTCTTTGTCCTTCATAAACCCAATCAATCCAATCTCACAGATTGAACAAGGTATTAACAAAAGCAATGGAACTCAACAAAAACATGTGTACACTTAGTTTTTTGCCATGGATCTGTCAGGCTTCTCCCAGTTTCATGGGAGAAAAATGTTCCGCTTTCTGGAGTCACGTATTCGCCTTGGTCAAGTATATGACACCAATTCTTGAAAGCTAGCCTTTGACAAACAAATGTGAACTGTTTTTTGACAAGAAGCTTGTTTGAAGAGGCACAGTTGGCTTGTTTGCCAACAAGTTCCAGTAGTCGGATTTCGTCCAAACATTGGAATCATCCTTGGGCTTGTCGGCGTTGCGAGGAGCCTTGAACAACGTGCCTTGTTTTGATCCAAGCGTGGTTTCCAGCGCAACGATCCATCCCGGGAGCACACACGGAAAGCACCTGCCCAACAAACCCATGCACTGTTGGCAAACTCTTTATCACAAACATTCACAAATCCACAACTGTGGACGCTCTTTTGCAGCCTGTTGCCGTGTAATGATGCCACGTCATAGGCAATGGAGATGTTCTTCATGTCCATTCCCATCTGCAGAAGCTTGTCCTCAAGCCGCCTGGTGTTGCCAAACAGTTGCAACCTACATTTCTATGTGCTTCTTTGAAAAAAACACTCGTTTGCCCACCTGTGCTCTCCTCGAAGTCCGTTCAGTATGCCGTCCCCGGCAAGAGCCGGGGCCACAATGAAAATGACGCCTGGCATCATTGCAAAGCACGACAAAAGTATATATAAAACAAACACCCACATTAGAACTGATCTAGTCCATGTCAGTCAGGGCACTGTAGTCAGGGTTGAGATTCAAAGTCTTCAGGCACCAAGCTCCAATGGTCTCGACGTCCACAGCGTTCAGACGGCCGAACTTGGTCAAATCCAGGTAACCTAGATGGTGTAGGTTCTCGACGGAGACAGTGTCAAATCGGGCAGAAGCGTCTTGAACCACCCGCCGCACCATCATACCTGTGCCATCCTTGTGGTTGTTGCTGGTGCACACCATGAAGCATTTCTTGGACATCCAGTTCTCTGCCAACCTGAGCCCTTCCTCAATCTGGCTTCTCATGTGTAAGACCTTGCGCAAAGAAACAAATTGGCTCCAACTCTTTCCAAGCATGTCTTGAAACATGTTCAAAGCACAGTGGCCTTCTGCACGTGCTTGTTGCTATCCACCCGGTTCTTCCGAATGTTGTAGCTCACTGCCTCTTTGTAGTCTGCACTGAGGTTCGTGCAGCACAAGGCATACTCTGCTTGCCTCAAGTTCTCCTAGCAAGGTCATGCCAGGTACTTGTTGCTTGAACATTAATGAGTTCCAACATGTCTAAGATTTTGTGTGGAACATGTTAATGACTTTGAATGTTCCCCAACAACCATCACTCCTCAGCCTCGTCCACATCCACTGTTTTGTCCATGCCCGATTCTGCTCCAGAACCTTTTGCAAGCGGACGCCCCACCCGGTCTTGCCAAATGGCCAGCATTTGCACAGTCAGCCGTGATGGTCTGCTGAGCAACAACGCATCAAAGTCCTGCACATAGTCCCTGACAAGCTTCAGATACAAGACGTGTTTCCAAATCTCGAGCCCAACAATTTAGAAAAGCAGAAACAAAAATGTTTGTTGACGCGCTGGCTAGCTGCCCATTCAGAAAAGACTGCACCATTTGGTCGATCATAGTTTGGGTCACCTGGTATTGATCTTGAAAACAGGTTCAAAGCAGTTGGTGAACAAACAAACCTGTGTGCAACATTGCCCAAAGCCAAGCTGCCTTAGGGTCCATCCGTGTTTCATGAAGCGCCCAGCAACAGAGGCAAGCATGGTCAACATTTTTTCGCCATGCTTCCTCGTTCCATCTGATCCGGTTTCTCATGGTGGCCTTCATTTTCTTGGCATTGCATTGCCACCAGAAGTTGTAGCGTTTGAACGCCAGAACCTGCGACTCTTGCGTCACCTGACTTGCACAAACCACAAGCACCTCATAAAGAAATTTCTGCACATCAGACAAAAGAACACACATGGGCCATCACATGGGAGCATTAAAAAACACAAACATGTTCTTTTCTATTCTCACAGTGGCTGTGAGGATCTTCTGCCAGTGAGGCTCCATACCTTTTGGGCTCTCGTTGAGCTGGTGCCGCTTAATCCGCAAGATGGTCTCGCTGTATCCTAGGTTCGAGCAGGAAGCAACACCAAATGAAAGAATGCACACCATTTGTTTTGTTTTGACATTTTAACGAAAACATGAGAGTGGGTGCGAGTATACAAAGAAAAATCATAGTCTCAGACTCGTGTCCGCTCTGCTCCCACTTATTGTGGTCGAGATGTCCTCTAATCTCTTCTCGTGCATCTGGGCAAATGCCCAGCACAATTCCTGACACTGCGTTGGCCATGTCTTGGGACAGTTGCCACTTGCGTATTGCCGCAGTCGCTTTGTAGTTGTTGTAGCGACTCACAATGTCATTCAAGATCTCCTGGTCGTTCATCTCGCGACACTCCTCCAGCAATCGTCGTTGCTCAAGCATTCGCTCGAAGCGAAGCGCCACTTTGAGCACCTTGTGATGAGTCACATTATGACATGAGACTTAAGCTATAGATGTGCACGTGACTACACATAGAACCAATGTGTTTTTGGAAGCTGGGTATTGGACGTCTTTGCGCTGTCGCTCCGCGCCCTGCGAAGATAATTGTATATTCTGGAAAGAGCACTCTTCGGGGTCAACCATGAACGATATAGCGCAAGGTAAACAGAACTGGTCCACAATTGCTGGTAGCATTGGTCGCAAGAGCTCCTCAGGAATACCAACATTTTGCAAGTTCTTTCTCCAGCCTTCAATGAGAAAACAAAACAACACAAAACGACAGACTGCTGATAAAATGCAAAAATCTTTTGCACCATGTGGATCCAGGTCTGAAGCTACCAGCAGAATGAAAAGACCTGCTGTCCTTGGGTAGTTGGCAAGGAATCTTGTGAAACGTGTTTGTGCTAGCTGCACACCAACATTGAAAAGACAGTTGCAAAAATTGCTTGTGCACAAGCGAAGAAACAACCTGGTGAACCCCTTCTTGATGTCCAGCTTGGGCTGTGTCACATCCTTGATGTTCAAGTCTATAGGCTCCCTATACAACCTTGACCCTGAAAAGAGGAAACTCAGCGCCGTCGTCACCCAATCACTCAAACTGGGAAGACCATCATCTGGCAAGCAAACATTGATGTTGCTAACTGGTATCTTGGCACTCATGACCTGTCCTGGTTCAAGCTTTGACAAGTCCTTGGCTGAATACACCAAATCTTTTCTACACCAAAACCACCAATGTTTGGAGTGCATTGCACTTGCAAAAGCATACAATGTCGCCAAGCTCAAGCAAGCAGCCGGCAATGGTGCACGCTCGAAATTCTGTCCCAACGCTTTGCACGCCTCTTCCATAAAGTATCTTTAGACATGTACTCTCCCTGGTCTCGGGGCTGAAGGCGTCCATAACCATTGTCACAGGGTGAGCGAATGCTTGGGTCACCGAAGCTTCTGAAGGTATTGACTCTTGAAATTTTGCAAAGTAATTCAGGAGGTCCTGCAAGATTGAAACATTGGATGTCAACGTAAACAGTCTGGCCTGAAACTGAAACAATCATGTCTTACTCCTTCACAACTGTAGTGTCACCCTCCATTTTCTTCAGTGCTGCTGTCCATTCTGTCTTTGGTAGCTTCTGGGTCTCGGTCTTGACCTGTGGTCGCCGGTTGAAAACCTTGAGGTTTGGATTGGATCTAAATCTTGTTTACTGAATGTGATTTTATTTTTCAACAATGTATCCAAGAAACCTCAACCTTAGCAATGGCGGTTTCTGGCGAAGGTGTAGTAGCTGGTTCTGATTCTGGCTTCGCTTCACTCTCCGATTTAATCTCCGGCTTGGTGTTGAGTGCAGCTTGTGCTGCTGCCACAGCTGATCGGAGCAATGGTGACTCCATGATAGCACGGCTTTGGTTCCGGTTCCCCCAACCAAAAATGCAACATGCATTGAGACAACTCCCCAATGATTTTATGTGTTTTTGGATTTGATGGAGAAAAAAAACTGAGCCAATAGAGCAACAAAAATCATCATGGGTGGGGGGGGGGGCCATCGAAAAACGGGAGGGGGGGGGTGGAGGCCATCGAAAATCGGCGTGGGTGGGGGTGGAGGCCATCGAAAATCGGCATGGGTGGGTTCGGGACCCCAACCACAGGGACTTTTGAATACGCAGTGGCGATCAAAGTCGCTGTGGGTGTGATCCAAAATACGCATGGGAGGGTCAAAATCGGCGTGGGTGGGATGGTCGCCTGATGATTCAAAATCGGCGTGGGTGGGATGGTCGCCTGATGATTCAAAATCGGCGTGGGTGGGGTAGTTTGCACGAGTCTTACTTAATGGTTTCCAAACTGTTGGAAAATTACATATTGACTGCCTGACTGACTGAGTGGCTCTTTTACCTGATAGCAGCTGATGGTTCACTCAGACTCAGCTTTCAGTGCCAGGCCATTTGTCATAGTGGCCACCTTGGCCAGTCGCAGGAATGAATGTCAACCTAAACAATGGTTCCCTCTATTCTTTCACACTGTGCTTCATCCACTCCTTTTTACACAAGTCTTTTCGGTTGCTTTTCTGCAATTCAATTCTCTCAGAGAATTGGACTGGGCTGGATCAACTCTTTCAAAGAGTTTGCTCAGGACATAGCTGGGGGCATCCGCTTTTTAGTTTAAATAGTACTGTATATATATATATATTTAATATCTATTTAGCCGTATCAATTAGATAGTTTCAAGGTGTTTTTCCAACAACTGTATCAATCATCGGCCCCTTCTCCATACAGCCCGCAAAGGAGCTGATGGGCACAGCACCGCTAGCACGCAAGGATGTGGTTCTTCTCGTGCCCTTGGCAGTACGTCCACATCCCCACTCTCATGCCACGGCAAAGGAATGAATTCATTCTGAGGTAGGGTATTGTTTGCCAGGTTTCGAAGATAACGGGCTGCCTGCTGGCTCACAATCGATCCACCCAAAAGCTCGTCAAAAATACTAGCCAATTGACGCCAGTCGTCTTGGGTTTCTCTTGGAACTTGTCGACCAGGCATTGGATCTGCGAGCTAAATGAAAGGCAAACATCAAAGTAGAGATTAACCCCGTTGCCCCACTAAAGTATAAACATTTCCTGAACAAAAATCAAAAAGTAAAGCTGAGGAGCGCTGCGCAACCAAGGGATATCGCTTCTCTGCAGGAAGAATCAGCATAGGGGCTTGACCAAGCTCGACTGAGGAGATGTACTCCTTCACCAACACAAAGACATCCTTGTCGTCTGGAGGTCTGCGTCGAGAACCTTCTTGTAAATGGTAATGGCTTGGCACATCTCAGGGGAAAAACAAAAACCTTAAAACCTTTGGACATGTATTGAATTCTGTTTGGTGTCACTTTTGGACCCGCAGGGCCTCTCCTCTGGCAGAAGAAAAAGAAGTGATTCGCAGTTCTATCATGAAGCAATCCTCCTTCCTCGGCACTGTAGTGGAACTTCAAGATCTAGATAGATCTAGTATCTTTTGTTTGTGATGTTGAGAAAAGACAACAAAAACACAACAGAACAAAGGTCTGCGCAAAGCCACGTTTCCAATCCTACGGGTGAGTGTAGTGCGAAGTGCGCCTTCCAGTTCCTATATTTTCGGAGAGTGAAGACGCACACTTCTCCGCCTATCCATTTTTTTGCGCTTTCTTTCTCGAGCTCCTTTTGGACTATCTGGACAGCTGAGTCAGCATCAACCAAGCTGGGATCTCGTCCGAGTTGTCTGGAGAGAAGTCCCCAAAGCTGGTCTTAGTGGTGTGTGTGTGTGCAAAGAAACATGTTGAACATTCATACAGTATGAAATACATTCAGTCCAACTTTAAGAAGGTCACAGTGTGATCACCGGAACAAAATTCAAGGTCTGGGAAATATCTACAGAAATATCTACATTCAAAGCTGAACAACTTGCAAAACCATATCAAGAATCCGATAGTGTCGTGAGTGTGCGACACTCGCAGCATGGCGAGTGCCGCGAACCTAAGATACAGTTGACAGTCAATAACAGGTTCTTAAACCAGGTCCACAAGATTGTATGGGGATCGCCTTCAATAAGTAGACAGAAGGATTTCAGCATGTATTCGGTAAACAAAAACGTGCAATATCAAGGTTCACCAACCAAAGTACTGCAACTTGGAGTGGCTGATCAAGGATGCAACATAATGCATACAATATTGGTTCTTGAGTTCTTTTACCGTGTTGTCCCCCACCACCACTAGGGTGGTGGGGGACCCAGCTCCTCTTTGCGCAGAGATCTCCATACATTTTTCAAGAGATGTCGCGATGAGTTCTATCGTCATACTGCTGCCGTGCTGGGTGTTTTCGTCCAAGATGGCGATGTGCAAACAGTAGTTGTAAGCCCAACATCCGTGTAGCTTTAGGCGAGGCCTACGCAGTTTGCTGGAGCGATAGGATGTCCGAAGCGATGGTTCTCGGGGCACGCAGTATTTGGCCTCAGCTGTAAGGATCCAGTTATTTGTATAATATTGTGTCATTGTTTGTTTGTCCTTTACAAATCTGTGTTGTGGTGCTTTGTGAAAATTCTACTCAATTCGGTCGACACACTTGATCGGCACCATCCGTGGACATCACGATCAACCTACTCATCGGCTCGCCTGAAACGTCCTTTAGTGCCCACACTCCACACCTATCAGCGTACTGGGCAACGAGGTGACGTCTGTACAACTTGAGCGCCCCAAGTCTAACATCTAGAGGCACCCCTTTGTCTTGGAACCTTAGCCCGATCTGATGGGATTTGCATTGAAGACGGTTCAATCCATCCTAGTTAAAACTACAAACATAAAAAATTGAAGACGCTGAGCAAATGTAAGATGCTGAGCTTTCAGTTCTGAGCACACATCACACTGGGAAAATGATGTTTGATCACGGAACTTCAAGACATTTGTCCATTTGCGATTCCAGTGGCGAAGAAAAGTGCAATAGCTGGCTTTGCTGTTCACATCATGAGCATCGCACCATCCAAGGTAGAATTGATATGTTTCAAAAATGGTTCCTGGTGGAAGGTATTTGCGGACTAAGGCAGACAGGTCCTTGACAATGAGGAAGGTAAGGTAATACTGCATCCTTTTTGTCAAACCTTTACGACGCCATAGAAAAATGTATTTAAAATATAGCCAAATGGCTGAGAAAGCACCAGTGAGTGACATGGCAACCAAAAAAGATGAATCAGACCGTAGGTATTGGGCAAGGTCCGCATCGTTCTCTTCAAACTCACTGAAGTACACAATGCCGCCTGGTCCCCAATTGTCAGAATCTTCATCTGCTGCTGGATCTGGCCGTCGTTTTGCCTGACCTTGTCGAACCAGCCTGTGGCAATCAATTCTGTTTTGTGCAATTAGCATCAAACCCACCAAATGGTTTCAAACCAGAAAGCAAAACATGTTTGTGTTTTTTGTTTTTTTTTTCTGGTCTTCTCTCCACCAGCACCTGTCAGGAAGAGGCTCGGCAACACTATTGTATAGGACGCAGCAAAATGAGTCAATTGATGCTGTAAGCACTGTCGGCTTTGTTGGCTGATGCCCAAATCGTAAGTCAGGCTGGCCAAGTTTGTCCAGTCTATGAGAACTCATGCCAAGGATCCTCTCAAAGCAGCTTCTTTTCATCGCCTTGCTCAGAAACATGTA